GTAAATATCCTATGGGACAAGAGAAGCACCAGCTTGTAAGCTATTCCCATAATAAAACTTCGACTTTGACTTTAATAGAATTGAAATGAAGCGCATGCTATGTGTATTGTCTATGCCGCTGTCTTTGATATCATGCTGGATGAAATGAGCAATGAGTGGAAGTAGCTGAGTTTATGGTAGTTCTTGTTCCTCTCATTATTCCATACTCCAGATTAACAATCCATCATCGAACAAACAAATCTGTTGGCCATCAGAATTTGATGGACTGGTTCGAACTGCCCCCCCCCCGTGAGCTAAATTTCTCTTCTACAAAGCATACTCCTCAAAAGTATTATAATTAGTTCTTGTCAAAAAGATGCATAGGTAGTATAAGGAATACACACTAATCAATAACATTCCGGGAATCACAATAACCATTATTAATAATATCATTATTGCTATAATCATAAGTGTAATGATGATAAGTTAGAAATATATATTATAATAATAAGGAACAAACAGTAAACTATTTGAAATGATGAAAACGATACAAAAATAATGAATCTAAAACTAATGAGGATGGAGTTGTGGAACACTACCTTTACGGACCCACCTTAGCAAAATGATCCAAGTTGTTTGCTTTCAAATGTTCCCAAATCGTATCTATTCTCTCTCTCTCTTCTCGGAGGTGAGAACCATCTAACAACGCTTCAAGGTCATAAATTCAAACAAAATTGGCAAAAATTCACCTTCTCGTAGGAACTTCACACCTTCATATGAATAAAATTAATGGACAAAAAAGCAATTATAGATAATAGAACGGTCCAGCCGTTGAAAGAAAATTCCGGATAGGGGCCACTTTTTATCAGTCCGCCCGGAATTTCTGGAAACCATCAGGCTGATATGATGTTTTCATGTTGCCGACTTTATCGCCGAAATTCCAAATTTGTGTTTACCCAGAGTGAATTAAACTTGCCTCGTGATTATTGACTTAGTTGATGAAATACTAACATTATGTTTGCTTCGGGGAAAATACAAAAACCACCTAATGATTATCGCTTTTATATTCCTTAGGAGCATTCATCATGGAGGTTATCGGTTTACGAATTGCGCACAGTCGTTTCAGCTTCAAAATGATCACAGTTACCTTCCTACGTACTCAGTTGGATTAACATGTTACAATTGTCTTTTGACACGTTCGCTTGAAAGCCACTGTTGAGGAATAACAATGTCAAACAATCAGAGAGAATCATCAAAATTCCCAATCGCTGATAGATTCCTAAAATGTAAACAGTTTGTTTTCTGGCTCTTAGGCTCCAACTTTGGACGGTACATGAAACCCCCTTATTTTACGCCTCCTGTTCTGTTATGCCAGCCATAAATCGCTCCCACTTTACTTCAGACCAAAAGAATACACTTATTGGTCCGATTCAACGTACACCATACTTTATTGGTTTCAGATTATTCGATCCGTGGAGCCTGAGGCTATCGGTGATGGACTTCCAGGCTGTCCATTACGTTGCAAACGACGGATGATCAGTGTGCACTCAAGTTTACAATCCAAGCTGGTACAAAATCTCTATCCGAAGACCTTAATCTCCTACTTTGAAATGTTACACTTGAAACAACTAGACGGACCGAAGGATTCTTTCATCAGTCAAAATGGTCCTCCAATTCATCCAAAAGATCTCATATTTCTTGACATACATCCGGTCAGTGAGATGGTCAATCAGGTGTGTTTCGCCCTCGTTCATTGTTTCGATCTCTTTACACACAACTAAACAGTTCCTCTATATTATCCAAATATTTATGTTAGCATTCAACGAGAATCTTCAACCGCAAAGGACTCATCATAAACGGATTATATTTTGATGTTTACTCACATTTTAGCAGCTCGGATTTTTTTATTGTATTGGCTAACTCGCTTTAGAATTTGTAGACCCAAGTGGTTTGAATTCCAGAATATGCCCATTTTGACATGAGAACACATTCAGAGGCAAAAAGTTGGTTTGGCCCTATTCTACAATCCATAATTGGTCACCGAGCATTCACGTCTCCCGCGCCGCGTATCCCGTTTCATGCTGCGCAATCTTAGTTGTTGGTGGTGTGGATCATTCATTTGTGGACATGCTTTTGCTCGCGATGAG